CAATAGGTACATATTAAAATGGATAAGACTTGGATGAGAGAAATCAAGTGGTCTAAGGCTTACGTAGATGGCGTAAACAAATTTATGGAATTTGTTTTAACTCACATGGGTTGAGATTGTAATGTTAGGTGCCCGTGCATACAGTGTCTGAATGTAGCAATGCAAGATCAAAAGACAGTGAAATTTCATTTCCTGGAAAAAGGAATTGATCCAAGATATGTTACGTGGTTTCACCATGGCGAACCATCAAGTTCTAATGATAATGGGAATCAAGATTTTGATGAGGATGACAAAATCGAACCAAATTCAGACGGTGATGGTGTGGAAGAATTGATTGCAGACCTTGCCGAAGAGTACCACATTTGTAGAAATTTTGATGCATTCTTTCTCTATAAATAGAGCTAGAATCATGATGTAAAAATCACAACAAAAGAAAACATAACAAGAGAGATAGAGAGAAAAAGAGTAGAGAGAGTGTATTCATACGAGCTTGTGTGAGTTGTAACATTCTGTTTATCCTCTTCTTCTAGTTCATTCTCCTGGCTTGGTTCGCCCCCAGACGTAGGATTTAATCCAAACTGGGTTAACAAACTTTCGTGTCTTTTATCAATTTCACATTGGTGTGTTATTATTATTCCATCTTATCTGACCTTATTTCCCAACAGAGGAAACAACAGAGGAAGAGGATGCAAGAGAAAAGGAAAAGCACTTCTGGATAACGTGTGAGCCAGTGGATCATCTGGTAGTGTTCAGGCAGGGTCTCCTCGTGGTGACTCAATTCGTGGTCCAATCATTTGATTTTGATGGATTGTATGTCGACGACGCTGACCCGTCTCAGGACGTCTATCAACGAGGCCTTCCGAGTGTGACTGCTGATTTTCTTGTTTATCAATATGACCCTGAGGATAAGGATTTTGAGTACGTGAAGTCATTAGGTGGCTTGGCTATTTTTGTGGGCCACCACAGCGATGCAGTCGCGTTGCCGGTGGCAGAGTACCTGGAGCTCAAACCCAATTCCATTTACTTCACGGATGTGGTAGATGATTTAGAGATTGAGGACCACCCAACTGGTGGCCATGCATTTTCGATTACGAGAACAAGACTGTGTCGTCATGCTATTATCCGTGTGATCTCAAGAAGATGAGAAAGACTTACCCGGCGCCTATGTGGTTCTTCCCAAGTCGTGCATGATTTGGTCTTATAGTTTTAGTTTAGTAAATTTAATAGTAAGTTTGTTTTCTTTTTTCTTGGCTACTGGTGTTTATATGAGATTGATGTTTCAAATTCTTGCAGCTTGCAAGCTATTTTTGTAAATCATTACAATTATTTATTTTTACTACATTAGATTTTCGCGTGACCAATACTATATATCTACCACAACACACAGTGCCAACAACCCTCGTGCCCCTCGTGGCTTCTAACTTCTTAGTCTCCATCCACTGCTGTGAACAATTTTGTACTTATACCAATCCCACATTGTAAAAATTGATGACAACTCCGCCTTCAAAATCCTCCTTCACAATGCTCTCTACAAAACTGCCACTACACAGGCCATCAGCAGTTTCTTCTCCGACCAAATTCCGAACGAGAATGTCGATTTCGGGAGAACCGAAGCATTTCGTGGCTGTGCACGGAGTCGGTCACGGTGCGTGGGTCTACTACAAGCTCAAGCCGCGCATCGAGGCCACCGGCCACCGGTTCACGCCGCTCAGCCTGGCGGCCGCGGGCAATAGCCCCAAGAAGCTGGAGGAGGTCCGGTCGCTGCACGACTACACCGAGCCGCTGCTCGAATTCCTGGACTCGGTCCCCGAGGGCGAAAAGGTAATTTTGATAGGGCACAGCGGAGGAGGATACGCGGCCGCCTACGGAATGGAGAAACACCCGGGAAAGATCTCGGTGGCCATCTTCTTGAACGCCCTCATGCCCGACACCAAGAATCGGCCGTCCTATGTCATCGACGAGGTATATATTAGTCATATCACATAATGCGTTCGACATTATCATGATATTTGTGGTAATACTAGTAAATAGCCTTCTCATTTAATTTGTAAAACATGAATTATAGCCTTTTTTGTGAAAGTATATAAAAAAAACTGATATAAAAATCTCAAATATGCAAAGAAAACCAAGCTCAAAAATGACTATTATTCAGAGAAATACAAAAATGACTTTATTTCATTTTTGCATTTGCTATTTGGCTATAAAGCCAAGGCACTGATTTCATTTATCGGCCATATGATTATTCAATTCGATTTTTATTTTATTTTATTGGGTTTCGTTTGGATAAGTATCTCACGAGGACTCCACCGGAAGCGTGGATGGACACCCAATTCCCGAGCTACGGAGAGCCACCGATAACGGCATTGGTCGTGGGGCCCAAGTTCATATCCGAGTCACTCTACAACCTATCCCCGATCGAGGTAACCGAACTTCTTCCCCTTATTTTCGGGTGTTCGACAAACACAGTATATATATATTGCAAATGTGTACGTGCAGGATCAAGTACTAGGGCACCTTTCGGTGAGGCCCGGGTCGCTATTCATGGAGGATTTGGCTACGATGGACAAGTTTTCGGAGGAGGGTTTTGGTTCCGTGCCGCGGGTGTACGTGATAGCAGCCAACGACAAGACGATACCGCCCGAGTTCCAGAGGTGGCAGATAGAGAACAACCCGGTGAAGGAGGTGAAGGAGATCAGAGGTGCCGACCATATGCCCATGTTTACACAGCCAGATGCCCTCTGCACCTGCCTCGTTGAGATTGCCGAGAAACATGCCTAAGTTTGGGACAAACGCAAGCAAACATGTCGAGAAAATAGCTCGATGCCCATTCTTAATTGCAAGAAAAGAACAAAAGATCTCTTCAAAAACTGGGTCTTAATTAAAGTTGATGGGCAATAATAATTCGTTGATATTATTGAATTATATTGCTAATATAAAGAATAGTGGAGTTGAGTTAAATTTGAATTAAATTTAAGTTATGATTGATTTGTTTGTATTTATATCCAATCACCTCCTAAAAATCTTCTTTTACTCTAAAAATGATTGAGTGAAAAAAGTGTGGAGAGGTTATTTTGGCCGTTTCACACGACAAAACGACTATTATTACAGAAAATGACTATTTACGAGTATTACCACAATATCATGATAATGGCGAACACAATACGCCATACAACTAATATACCTCGTCGATGACATAGGACGGGCGGTTCTTGGTGTCGGGCATGAGGGCGTTCAAGGATACGGCTCCCGAGATCTTCCCCGGGTGCTTCTCCATGCCGTAGGCGGCCGCGTATCCTCCTCCACTGTGCCCTGCCAAAAATACCTTTTCGCCCTCGGGGACACAGTCCAGGAATTCGAGCAGCGGCTTGGTGTAGTGCAGCGTCCGGACCTCCTCCAGCTTCTTGGGGCTATTGCCGGCGGCCGCTAGGCTGAGCGGTGTGAACTGGTGGCCGGCGGCCTTGACGCGCGGCTTGAGCTTGTAGTAGACCCACACCCAAGCACCGTGCCCGACTCCGTGCACGGCCACGAAATGCTTCGGTTATGCTGAAATCGACATTCTCTGTTCGGTATAGATAGTATAGATACATTCTCAGGTATTATAATTCAAGTCTGACGTTGAAGGGTCTGGTCAGCTTCTTGGGAACACAGTTAAAATTTGCAGGAAAGATTGTTCTGAATGTAATTAGAAAAGGGGAAAAAAGAAAAAAGAAAAAATGACCACGAATTGTGATATGAGTCTGACAATATATTGTATACAAGCATCTATTGATAGCAACCTCTTAATTAAGGTACACTTTTTTCTTTCAAACTCATGGATCAAAACAAAGGTTGCTCTCTCTTTCCTTATTGCTTATTTATTTATTTATTTATTTAATTTTTTTTTTTTTTACCAAGTTTTTTTTGTTTTTCAACTAACGATACCAAAACTGGTTGCCAATGATGGAAATTTGGATCCATGACCTCTTAGTGAAAGAGACCAAATCATGCACGACTTGGGAAGAACCACATAGGCGCCGGGAAAGTCTTTCTCATCTTCTTGAAGATCACACGAATAATAGTATGACGACACAGTCTTGTTCTTGTAATCGAAAACCAATGTCATCAGGGACGGAGCCACCCTTGAGCTAGGGTAGGCTCCAATCCCAAGTCCAAACAAAAATAAATAAATAAATCTAACTTTAAATTTTTGAAAATTTTATATATAGTCCCATGTAAATTTTTAATTAGCCCCATGTAATTTCAGGCTGAATATCTTATTCAGGTCAAATTTATTCATTTGACAAGAATGGTAGATAAGTGACGACCGTAGTGAGAGGAAATGAGACAATCCTTTATTGTCAAATGACAATTATGCTCTAATTAAACTCTTATCAATTGAATTTATAATTTGGTTCGACACTCTAATGCCTTTTAATTTCTTAACGAGTTGATTTGACAAGAGCTAAATGAGTTGGACAATTAAGACGCTCACTTCTCCAAATTTGTTAACCATTTTCATTCGGTTTTTGTTGAATTCTCCTCCTGTAATTAATTTGGCCTGAAAAAAAAAAAAAAAAAAAAAAAAAAAAAAAAAAAAAAAAAAAAAAACTCTTACAGACTTGATTGCAAACATATTCGACTCTAGTTGTTTGATCGACAAGTTCGATCAACTATTTAGTTTCATTTGCTTAAATGTATAAACGAGTCGAGATTGAGTTTTCACAATTCGAAGTAAAATATGTTAATAGATAATTCCGTTCTAGTCATGGCAAAACCGATTCCGGGTTGAAATCGCCATCCCAAACATATGCACTGGCAGATTAATTGAGTTGTCAGTTCTTGGCCGCCCGTTTTATTTTAACAAATAAATATAATTAAAAAATATTTTTGTAAAGAGACCGGAACCTCTTGTTCCGGTTCCAGTTCTAAATCGAAACTGTCGGTTCGAAATGTATAAACTATAAAGTATTGAACATGAACCAGACTGGTCAAAATCACGAGTTGGTTCAAGACTCATGGTCAACGGGCCAGTTTGTGCCGGTTCGGGTCGAACCGGCAGGCTTGCCTGCCCATGACCATGTCTACTCAGTTCCAATAATAGTTACAATAATATGCAGTCCCAGGTTTAAATTTTTTCTGGCTACGCCCCTGAATGTCATGGCCACTAGTCGTGTGGTCCTCCATCTCTAAACCATCAACCACATCCGTGAAGTAAATGGAATTGAGTTTGAGCTCCGGGAACTCTGCCCCCACAGGGAAAGCGACTGCATTGCTGTGGTGGCCCACAAAAATAGCCAAGCCACCTAATGACTCCACGTACTTGAAATCTTTATCCTCAGGGTCGTATTCTGTTGAAAAATAATTTGTCAATATACTCAAGATTAACAAAACAAATTAATTTTATTATTACAAATATATATAACTCACACCTCACACAATACACTCTTTTTGTAAGACTCACACTACATAAGCACACACTTCACTCGTTTATTATTTTTCTCACAGCACCACATAAAGTGATTTTCACTCACAAGTCACAACACTCAATACTTAATATTTTTTTTTTCTTGTTTTTATCACACACGGCATACACAATGCTCACCCACTCTCTTTTTTTATTTTGATCACTCACACCACTCAAGCACACATTTAATATTTGCTTACACACTTTTTGAGCCTCGGTACACACACACACAAACACAAACACATATATATATATATATACACACACACACACACATCATAGGCATTAATTACAACAACTAACTACTAACTCTCAACTAATTATTTTCTAACTTCTAACTATTTGTTTTTAATGAGCATTAATTATTTAATACTCCCCCTTAATGCTCATTTGGACAATTTCAAGTTTTTCACGTAGAGTCTCGAATCGTGGTCGCGGTAAAGCCTTTGTGAAAATATCTGTAAGTTGATCTTCACTTCTCCCCTTCATCAACGACATTCTCTTGAGTTATGTTTTCTTCTTGAACTACTCCAAGACGTGTTCGGAACTCTTCAAATTTTGAAAGATTGAGCCCTTTGGTGAACACGTCGGCTACTTAGTCTTCTGTACCAACGTGCTTCATCTCTATCTCCTCTTTGAGCACTTTTTCTCTAACAAAGTGATAGTGAACTTCGACATATTTTGTTCTCGCATGGCATACGAGATTTTCTGCTATGCGTATAGCAGATTGATTATCACAATATAGTTGTACCGCATATCTAAATGACTGATGTAGATCTTTTAATAGTTGTATAAGCCATGTGCTTTCTGTTGGAACCCACGAGGATCTCGATATGCACAAATCACAGACAAACATTCAA